CAGGAGGTCATGTTGGGTTGGTTAAGGTCAAGGCAGAGGGGTTAACTCCAGAAGGTTATGGTGACTGTGTCCTGGGATTACAAAGTGGGTGGTCTTGGTATATTGTCTTGAAGAGCACAGGACAATCATAAGGGCTTATGATAAAGCCTTAAGAGCACGAAAACCGCATTGGTGAGAAAAAGGAACGTTGAGTTGAGGGAGTTGCTTCCATTACGAAAATGCACCTGGCTCTCTGGTCAGTGGTCGCAAGGGCTGTCCCATAACAACTCCATTAAGAAATCTTACCCTATCCACCCTATAACTCTGATCTTGCCCCTTCAGACTTCTTTTTGTTCTTAAAACTTTAAATACCATTTAAAAGAAACACAATGTCAGTTCTCGGGGTTTCCAAAACCCCTGTTTTGATGTGGTGCATACAGAAGACAGCAGGATGCTTTGGGGGAAGAGTTAGAGGGACGGAAACATTGTCTTTAGAAGTCTCTAAGAGGATATACTGAGAAGCAATTCCTACAATTTTGGTATTTTTGTTTAATAAAAGTTTCTATGATTTGTAACAATATCTTTTGACATATCCCTCCTGTGTTGATAGAGGAGGAACGGCTTGGGAAAGGAGCATGAGATGGAGGCACAATGTGAAGAGTACAGTCAATGTCATTGACTTGTATACAGAGAAGTTGTTGAAATGATGTATGTTCTCAGCAATAACAGATTAAATAATGTAAAAACAATCCCCCACACTTAAAAAAAACCATACCTTTGCATGTCATTGTAACGTACAGCACAAATGCTTTACTCTGAAAATTGGCTATTAAAGAAAAGAATTAAGCATTTATTTGGCCTTTCCTAACAAATAGTTTTTAAGGGGAACTATTCCCCTAAATAAATTTCATCCAATTAAAAAAAAGAGAGAGAATTAGAAAAATTACCAGCTGGTAAATCCTAGGGAAATGAATCAGCTAACAATCTCAAGAGATGGAATATTAATAACTGAAAAGTTGTTTGAAAAATTTACAATACAAAGTTCAATCTATCATCCTTAAACTTTCTGATTAATCCTAGTATCACAAAAATTTGAACAACTTAATACTCTGTGCCATCTAACATAATATGAAGTAATGATGATGTATTCTTGAACAATTCAATTGAGAGTCTATGACTAATTTAGATTTGCATAAGATACATGTAATAGAGGAATAAGGCATTAATACCACAAAAAAGGGAAAAAATCAAAATCTGAAAATGTTCTATAGGACAAGTAACCAAGTTTCTGCAACAAGTCAATTGCATTAAAAAATGGAAAAAAATTAAAGAGAGAAATGGGGCTACTAAATTTAAAAAGGCTTAATAATTAAATGTGATGTGTGGATCTCATTTGGATCCTAATTAAAACCAACTACCTATAAAACAAACAACAAAAACACATTGTGGTGAAGTGAACTTTCTTATGGCTCTTCCACCCATGTGTCTGTATCTCCCACCAAATGACGGGGTGGGACCATGCAAACAGGGTGAGTGAAACACTAACAGAGGGGGCCGATCGGTTTTAATTTCTACTCGTCTGACTATCAGAATGAGTCATCTTAGAAGCAGAAACAGAGAGAAATCTTGAGATCATCAGTGAACAAAAGCCACAGGTGGAGCACATTGGAAAACCTTGCTTAAGGAGGCAAGGATGGTGTGACATATTTTGGACATGTTGTCAGGAGAGACCAGTCCCTGGAGAAGGACGTCATGCTTGGTGAGTAGAAGGGCAGAGAAAGAGGAAGGCCCTTGATACGCTGGACGGACACGGGGGCTCAAGCATTAGAACAACTGTGAGGCTGGCACAGGGCCAGGGAGGGTTTTGTTCTGTTGTACCTAGGGTCATTATCAATCAGACCCACTCAACACCAAATAGCAGCAGATGCCATGCCACACCAAGGCCAGAGGCAAGAAGACCATGAGACATAGCAGAGGAACACACTGAGACTCTGAGGCCCACAGAGCCCAAAGGACCATGTGGCTGAGAAGCTAAGGACCATCGAGAGAGAATTGCCTGCTGGCTCCAGAGAGGGGCTGTTGGGGATCAATGAGTGTATCTTTACAGTTTATTGATCCTGACTGTGGCAACCTGTTAACGTCTCTAATAAATCCCCATAATTGTGAGTTTTGTCTTTGAGTTCTGTGTTGTCACTGCAACAAATTATCAAACCCAGTGGAAATGTAGAGTGTCATGGGAGGAATGGTTGGTGTCAGAACAGGTAAAGAAGAATGGAGGTTGGAGGCAGGTCAGACCTTTGTTTTATGGCAATCGACCAGTTTGCCTTTATCTTAGTATTACTTCAAAGTATCAGCACATAGAGCTATAAAATGCACATCTCATGTGCAAGCCCATACATATATAAACATACATGTTTATGTATACCATACATAAACAATAAAATACTGTCACAACAACAACTATCACCAAGCGATGCTGACTCAGTGATCTTTTAGAAACTCTGAAGGATAGGGTAGAACTGCCCCTGTAGGTTTCTGAGACTGTAACTCTTTATGTCAGTAGACAGCCTGGACTTTTTCCCCGAGGAGTGGCTGGTGGTTTCGAACTACTCACCTTGAAGATCGCGCTCAACATTTTACCACTACATCACCATGGCTCATATACATATACACAGGCCACATACAAAACAACTGACCAATGTAGACTACGGCTCCAGCTTCCTTACCATCAATGTTAAGCATCATTTTCCACATGGCAGGCCGAACAGACTGATGGAATCCAAACCACACTTCCCTGCCCCCTCCCAGGGGGTGGTCATATCCTTCTGGGGCTGAGAAAAATGAACGCCCCACTGGCGTATATCTACAGAAATAAGAATGGCATGCTCAATCTTTCTCTTTACCATATAAATATCCAACTATGCTGCAGACCAGGAGGGACTACAACACTAAAAATTAATATGCCACGATGATGCTTATAATAAACATATAAAACATCTTCCAAATTTGTAAGAGAAAAAAAGCAGTGATTCTAAATTCTAAATAAATTTTAATATACATTTGAAAAAATGGATTGTTCCAATCTTACAAAATGCTAAAAAGTAAATATTAATCAAAAATATACTTCTAGAAATGTGTTTGCAAGACAAAATTCTTCTTTAAAATATACATTGATCCTATATCTATCTATCTTCTATGTATCTCTATTTATCTAGATGTGGTTCAATCGATATAACTCAAATTCAAAATAATTGTAATACTAGTACTATTATTATATAAAAATGAAAATACTTTTTAAAATAAGGTGATATATCTCTAGGAATATATCTGAAAATAAATCACTTACTCATGATTTATACCTCCTAAATGAAAGTTAGGCATTTTTCTATTAAAAATTCATTAAAATAGCTAGGCTAATAATATACCTACATTAAATTTAAAAATTCAAAAATTTTTCTATAGCTTAATTTTTAAAACAGTTTTATTGGCATGTAATTCACATATCATACACCTTGATAGTTCAATCACATTTAAAAGAGTTGTGCAATCATTACAATCAATTTTAGAAAATTTTCTTCTTTTTGTAATCACTATTAGTAGCTATAACTTACTTTTAAAATGAACTTGTGTTCATGCTGTTTTTGAAAGTTTTTTAAAAATCAAGATATACAACATTCAAAGGTCAACCGAGGATGGCCTGCACAAATGACTCTCGGGAAGGAAACCTTAACATTTAAATTAATCCCCGCCCCCATTAAAAAAAACTCTAAGGAGGAGAGAAAAAAAGGCTGGAAGTACCCACTTCATGGAGGGCAGATGTCGTAGCACCACATCGACAGCATGGACAGGACTAGTGCTGATCGGCTTGTCTAATTCCAGTGGTTCGGGCACGGCCCGTCCTGTCAGCACTTCATGAAGTAGATGCCAGCTCACCCGAGAGACGAATTTGACCGACACTTTGAAAGGGCGATCTTTTCCACCTTCCCCAGGTAATGTAACATCTAAATCTACCTGCGGACAGTGAAAAAGTCAACTGGTAAATGTTGATAAGGAAAAATACAATTATTTTTTATTTATTTATTTATTTTTAAATACAATTATTTTGAAGCTTAATTTTAAAAAATATTCAAGAGAAAATAGGCAAAAAAGAAATCATTCTGAAAGTTAAACTCAATGGCCTAAAACGTGAACAACATAGCTACCCATGCCAGAAATTACTAGAAATCGTCTAAATGTCCTTATATTTAAACAAATATGTTTAAAAGAACGAGGAAGAGCTTTTGCAACTGCTGTGGAATAATTTCCTAGTAAGTCTCTAAGTGAGCAAACTCCAAACAATATATTATCTTTTGTGTGAGAAATAAAGGGAAATTGAGATTAACATATTTGCTTGTTTAAAAAAAAAAAGGAAACATAGGATATGAACTATAAAAAGAAATAGGTTACTTTCAAGGGATGGAAGGGAATGTCTAAGGGAATGAAGATAGAGTGACAATTCTGAGTATATTTGTTTGGTATAGTTTTAACTTTTAAAAGCATGCAAAGTTCTACATATTAAATTTTTAAATAGACAATGGTGGGGGGCAAAATAAAATACAAATAGCTTCAAATAAACGGAATTGCATTTAAAATAAATAACATTACCACAGTGAAGAGGGGAAAAAATAGAAAATACTATGCAAGTAACTCTTAATGTAATATTCTGATTTAAATCTAAGCTGGGGATATGGGCGAGGGTTGAGTTGGAAGGAAAAGCTGAATACAAAACAAAATCTCGACTCTGTATAGGTTTTGTACTGGTACAGGAGTAGTGATTTGGAAGCTCTATTTACTGTAAACTTATGATTATAAGTAGTGATGTTTTGGAAACCAAGCATCTACACTGAAAAAGAAGGTAGATATACATAAGAAATGAGGGAAAGAAAGGAAGAATCTTGGGACACACTGGAACTAGAAATACTAAAGTAAACATGATTCCTTTATGAACATATACATATACAAGGGGGTTTGAAAAAATAAAATTAACGGGGAAGGGTGGGGGAAGAAATGGGTAGCTGATATCAGGGGCTCAAGTGGGAAGAGAATGCTTTGAAAATGATGGTGGCATATGTGCAAATGTGCTCGACACACTGGGATGAATGTACGGATTGTGATAAGAGATGTAAGAGCCTCCAATAAAAGTATTTAATAAAAAAATTAAATGAAATGAAAAGATAATAGAATATTTCCATGGAATGTAGAAGCACCCTCCTACATGTAATATATTATGTGATAGGTAATAGTGGTGCAGTAGTTAAGTGATCAAATGCTATTCAAAAGGTTGGTGGTTTGAACCTACCCGCCACTCCATGAGAGGGAGATGTGACAGTGTGCTTTTGTAAAGATTTATAAGCTTGGAAACCCTATGGTGGCTGTTCTACTCTGTCCTTAAAGGGTTCCTATGAGGCAGAATCGACCTGGCATAATCAGTTTGGGTTTCAGGTCAGACTTATTATCTATCAACAAGCTCTGATGGCACTGAACTGCTAACCACAAGATCAAACCCACTGGCAGCTACTTGGGAGAAAGATGACTCCAATAAAGATCTACAGTCTTGGAAACCCTATATAGGCTCACTATGAGTCAGAATCAACTTGTGGATTATTATGTATCTTTCCTACCTCTGTCCATTGAAAGGATTACAAACACATACACCAGCACTAACAAACATATCCAGAACCCAGATTTTGGTTTTTAAATTGCAATCCCCAACTAAAAGAAACCAGGGTTCCTTTGAGAAGTGGCCAGCTGCAAGGATGTAGCTGGGAAGACATAAGATGAACCTGGACTGTGCTCATGAAGAAAACACAGACGACACAGGCTCTACATGAAAGTGTGGTGAAGACATTAGATGGTACCTGACTACCAGAAAGCAAAGCATCTGTTTTCAAACAAGCAGCTGTCTGAAGGAGGCATCAACTAAGTCCACATGGAAGAAGTCTATCAGCCTGTGTGATCCAAGGAGCACATAAAATATAATCCAAATTCAAAGGAGGGAATGGTATCAGAGCTTAAACTGTAAAATTCTGGTTTGCAGAAAGCTATGGATAACAGTGGAAGCCCAAAATACATTTGCAGGATCTACACATAGAATAATTTTCTAATGATTTCTCTCTGACCATAATCAAGAGGATGAGAATAGCCCAGTGATTAGACAAAGTAGTGGAGAGACAATTACAGCAGATTAAAATGAACCATCTGATTTGAATAGCTAAGATGCAACATTGTGGTCAGTGAATTTATGGACACAATAACCGTATTACGGTTTCCTGGGAGGTATAGTGGTGGTGGGAATAGGAACAAGGAGTACAAGAAGGAAGACCATATTCTAAAACTGATTGTAGTAACAATTGTAAAACATTTCTTGATATGTTTGGTTTGTGTCCTAATAAAATGGTTTGAAAAAAAATGAGCCTGGAATATTCTGTGCCAGAAATAAACTGCTACAGAAAAAAAAAGAAAGAGAAAGAAGCAGCAAGAGGTATGTCATTTCAAAAGGCCACAAGCACCTGAATGAAGGTGCTCACGCAGGCCAAATCTGGACAATTTGAATGGTTAAATAAATAAATGCAAACAAATAGGGTGAAAGGAAAAGTTCTTCCTTAACGTTGAATACCCACTAAGGTAGGTAAATCCAGAAGGAATGACAGAAAAAAACACCACCATTCCTTTAAAGTAAGAATCAGTCTCGAGTAGGTGATTGGAGAATAGGAACCTTTTAAGTAGCTCCCCACAAGACACCGGTACTTAAAAACCACAAAGGGAAAGCGTCACTTGACAGCAGAAACCTTGCAGATATTGACGCAGTAATCAAAGTTAATATCATCATTAATAAAACAAATATATTTCATGTGTCTACTGAAGTGATACACCCTTAAGGGCAAAAGACCTGTGGAATATATCTGCCAACTATGCAAAACAAGAATCTAATCAACAGAAAATACCGAATAACTCAAATTGAGTGACAGTCATCTAAATATCACATCCATGTCATGAAAGACAAGACAAGGCTGAGGAACTGCTCCAGAATAGAGGGGAATGAAGAGACTTAACCCCGAGGGTGGCAATGAAAGCCCAGCAGCTGCTCTGCAGGACAGAGAAGGCTGTCTGCTCCCTTAAAGCTTTCAAGTCTCCGAAACTACATAGGGTCACTGTGTTATTTGCATAATGTCTTGTCAACTTAATAAACATAAGGGTGGAGGCTAGCCTGTCAATCAGGTCACACAGCCTGATGATGCCTCCTTGTGGTGTGGCTTTCTCTTAAGGATTCTGGGAACTTCCTCTCTTACTTCCCTGGGGGTGGGCATCACTCTCTCTGCCTCACTTTCTTGTTGTTGAGACACTCGGAGAGCTAGGGCAGCCAGTGCTGCGATGCTTCTACGGCCACTGGATCCATGAGGCTTTTTACTCACCAGGGTGTGATGTTCCTGCATTCGGCATCATTGCATGTGCTGCATGAGTCTGAAGAGGAAGGTATGGGCTAGTATTGGACAGATGGGCTAATGTTGGACTTATGGACTTGATCTGGACTGGCTTGGGATGTTTTCTTAATATACAATGACTCTTTGATACAAAGCTCTTTCCTATACATACATGAGTGTCAATAGATTTGTTTCTCTAGTCAACCTGTACTAACACAGTCGCTAAGAGTTAGATTTGATTAGAAGGCAGTAGGTTTTGCTTTTCTTTTTTGGTTATAGCTACAAAGAGAGAGTAAAAGAGGGAGAGAAAATGTTAAGATAAATGTGGCAAACATTAAAAAACTGGTGAGTCTGTAATGTAATGGGTGTATTATTTCTGCAGCTTTTCTGTTAATTCTGAAATTACCTAAAAACAGAAAGTTAACACACATACATTATACATACATAAATATATATTAACTGTCAGAACATGAAATAGTAATAAACATATACAAAAGGAGACATTGCAAAAGTATCACTTTTTAATATAGAAATGTGTTATCTTACCCCAGTAGTGGCCACAGGAAGTGGATTGGCTGTGTAAAGGCTTCTTTTCCCATCATACACTGGTCTACGGTCCCCAAATATAGTTACTTTAAAATGCTGAACCATAGAGTCAACCACCTCCCTAAAGAAGGGGAAAGATACATTTATATACCCCTTTGCACATGAAATCCCAAAATTTTAACTGAAGTTACTTTTAGCACTGCTTAAACCTGTTGAAATTCTAAGAGCAATCACACATGATGAAGATTTTGCTTGCAGGATCACAACTTAGAATGAAGTCAGTAAATCACTTAAACTAGGGCCCAGTGGGTGTGCAAAATATTCTCCCTAGAAATGGACCCCACTTCCCTTTCATAATCTCTAAGTATTCTATTACGTGTTAACTTCTTTTTATCAAACAGAAAATTAGATGCTCTTTCTTCTGTGCTCCAACTGAAAATAGTGCCAGTTTCTACTAGAACACTATTGTATTATAATTGTTATATACTTCATTTCTATTACACTGTGAGTTCTTTGAGAGCAAAAAAAATACACCTGTATTCTTATGTCTCCTCATTCTTAGAATAGTACCTATTCAATAAGGATATTTTGTTATGATGTCTCAGTATTATACAGGTAGCATTTTGAGTCTATATACTGATAAGAAAAATACATACATTTTGAAATTTGCAGACTCTGAGCAAAGGACATGGACAGACATTTACAAGAAAGGTTATTCAAATGGTCAATAAACACATGAAAAAGATGAGATGCTCAGTGTCGTCCATTGAGAAATGTAAATCAAAATTACAAGGAGATATTGCCTCACCTTTATTAGAATGGCAGTGATCACATAGAAAACAATAAATGTTGGTAAGGATGTGGAGACACTGAAACCTTTGAATCCTTATGAATTTCTGGTGGGAGGATTAAATGGTACAACTAGTATGCCAATTTCTCAAAAACTCAAATATAAAATTACTATAGAACCCAGCATTTCCATGCCTACATATACATCCTATGGACCTAACGTAGTGATGTGAGTGGACACAGGAGTATTTGTATGTACTCCTGTGGTCTTATTAGCACTATTCACTACAGCAAAAAGGTGAAAACAAACTAAAGGCCCATCATTTAGCTGGATAAACAAAATATGGTGCAGGTTTATGATGGAACTCTATTCAGTCATAAAGAGAAATACAGTACTGATAAATGCACTACATGAATGTACCTGGAAGATATTTTACTGAGTGAAATAAGTCAATCATACAAGGATATTACATGATCTAACGTATGTGAACTGACAAGAATGAGTAAGTGTATTGAGGACAATGGTTATTAGTGGTTGCCAGAAGAACTGGATGGTGCTTGCCTAACATTATTGAACAGTCCTAATCAAAAAGAGGAGATCTGTCTTGGAAGAAGTACAGCCAGATATTCCTTAGAAGCACGAATGTTCAGACTTGGTCTCCCATATCTGTAGATGTAATCGGGAGACACCAGTCCTGGAAAAGGTCATCATGCACGGTAGAGTAGAGGAAGAGAAAAAGAGGAAGGAAGGCCCTCAACCCGAGGACTGGCACAGCGGCTGCAACAACGGGCTTGGATGTAACAAAAATTGTGAAGATAGCATAGGACTGGAAGTGTTTTACTTTATTCTCTGGTACACAAGGTCACTCTCAGGCAGAACTGACCCGAAAGCACCTAGCACCAATCCAAAGGGAGAGAAATTTTAAAATAGAACTTTTAACTTCTTATAAAATCTACACTTACTGAACCCAAATTGGTAGCCCTGAGAAAATTTTTGAACCTTGAATAAAATTAATCCTAAAGTCATCTTCAAATTGAGTAAAGAATGTTTTCCTTGATTATTGTGCTCTTTTTAAAAATTACCTATATCAGATCAAATTGACAATATTAACTCTAAAGCAGCGATGAGTAGTTTATGGGGCAATGAGTCTAAGTCAATGGTAGTAAAACAATATGGAGAGAGACTGTGAGAACAGAGACACAATATTAAAGAAAATAACCATTATCATTGAATGGTACATGAAGCATTTGTTAAATGAGTATGAGATCTGTGTGTATCTTACCAAAAGTAACATTTTAAAATTATATATTATAGAGAATGATACAAAATATACACAAATCAATATTTACTTTTCTATACACACCATGTGTAAAACAGTGGAAAGATATCTGGATGTGTGCCAGAGAAATGCAGTAGTTACCTCTGCGAAGGGAAGTGGCAACAGTGAAACTTACTTTGCTTATTTGAATATACAATATTATAGTGATTAAGTTTCTATGGGAAAAATATTGAATGATGCAGGAAGCATCAAGAGAAGATGGAAAGAATACATAGAGTCACTGTATCAAAAAGAACTAGTCGACATTTCACCATTTCAGGAGGTAGCATATGAATTAGATGCCACGGTGTTGAAGAACGGTACACTAGAAGCATTAGCCCAAATCAAGGCTCCTGGAATTGATGGAAAGCTCACTGAAATTGCTCAGTGAGCTAAAGAAGCACTGGAAGCACGCACTGGCCTGTGCCAGCAAATTCAGAAGAAGCTACTTGGCCAACTGACTGGAAGGGATCCATATTTGTGCCCATTCCAAAGAAAAGTGAGAAAGTATAGAATGATATTATTGATAAAACACGCAAGTAAATTTTTGCTTCAGAGCATCCCACTATGGTTCTAACAGTACACTGACAGAGAACTGCCAAAAGTTCAGGCTGGATTCAGAAGAAATGGAGCAAGGTATATCATTGCTGCTGTCAGATGGATAGTGGCTGAAAGCAGAGAACATCAGAAAGATATTCTATGCAGAGGCATTCAACCGTGTGGACCACAATGAACTGTGGATAACCTTGAGAAGGATGAGCATTCCAGGAAACTTTATTGTGTTCATTTGGAACTTGTACATAGATCAAAAGTCAGTTGTGCAAACAGAACAAAAGCATACTTAACTTTTTAATGATTTTGTGTTACTTGGATCCACAACCAATGCTCATGGAAGCCGTGGTAAAAGATAAAAAGACATATTGCCCTGGATAAATCTGCCACAGACCTCTTTAGCGTATTGAACAGCAAGGATGTTACTTTGAGAACTAAAGTGCATCTGACCCAAGCCATAACATTCTCTATTGCATCATTTGCATGTGAAAGTTGGGCACTGAATAAAGTAGAAGAATCAGTGCATTTGAACTGTGGTGCTGTAGAAAAATATCGAAAGTACCATGGACTACCACAAGGACAGACTGATCTGTACTGAAAGAAGTAAAGGCCAAGTGCTCTTTAGAGGCAAGGATGGTGTGGGAGTTACATAGTCTCCTGTCAACTTGAGCGAAGAGGTGGAGTCTAGCCTGTCAATCAGGTCAGAGTCAATGAGGTCTCTGTGTGGGCATGGTCTTCTCCTGAGGATTCTGGGAACTCCTGTCTTCCTCCCTGAAGAAGGAACACTTACTGTCTCTCTGCTACAAATTCCTGTCGACAAGCCAGATGGAGCTATGCTGATGGTAGCCAAAGTCTTGGAGCTGAAGAGCCACATGGAGACCCACACCAGCGCTAAGATGCTTCCACCACCACTGGATCCACAAGACTTTCCACCCACTGGCCTGTGATATTCCTGTACTCGGCATCATTGCATGGCTACATGAGTCTGAAGAGGAATTTATAGACTGGTATCAGACATATGGGCTAATATCAGACTTATGGATTTGATCTGCACTGGGCCAGGACTGCTCTTTGATATAAAGTTCTCTTTTACACACATGAGTGTTTCTGGGTTTGTTTCGCTAATCAACCTGGACTAACACATTATGGTACCAAGAGTGGGGTACTACAGAAACACATCATTAAAATGGAGAGTGGATGCTTGTTTGACCTCTGCCTCACGGTAGTTTTCTTCTTTGGCTAGCCATAGGTCAGATATGGTAATGCAATTTACTGGGTTGTTTTCTGGAAAGAATATGGGAAGTTAAAGTTTTGATTATTTTCTTTGGTTTTTGTCTTTGATTATTCCTGTTTGAAATGGTGAAAATGAATGTGATCAACGTCTCTTTTGAGCTCAGGGGGCACAATTGCCACTTGACCTTTTTCTCAGAGACCATGCTGTTAGTGAAAGTGGCTGCCAGAACACCTGGCCTAATGCAGTCAGAGGCCTAAGGCTATATTTTCTTTATCAACGGACGGTTGGCAATAGATGACAAGACTTCACCTTCCGTACTTCAAGGACATCGTACTTGGTTAAATGGAGGGGCATCAAAAAAGAGGAAGGCTCTCAAGGCTATGGATTGACACAGGGATGCATGAATGGGCTCAGGGATAGGAACAATTGTGAGGATGGCACAGGACCCTGCAGTGTTTCATTCTACTGTGCACAAGGTCACTGTGAGCTGGAGCTGACTTGATGGTACCTAACAACAGCATTACAGTGAGCGTATGTTAACACAGTATTGGAATAATCTGAATATTTTTTTAAATGGGGAAGGATTAATTCAAATGTAGCCAAGGGGGAAGGGAGGAAAACAAACTTTAATGGAATAAAAACACACCTGCTGTACAGTTCATACTTATGCATTGAAAGAATGGAATTAAAAACCTTGTAATGACACACTTTGCATGTGAATCTGTTCAATAGCAAACTGTTTCCTCCCCATCTGCTTTGGATTAAAATCTATCTCCCAGAAACCTATATTGAAGTCCAAAGGCCTGAAACGGTGAATGGTGACCTCATTCTGCCCTGCTTTGGGGCAATGGGGTTTTTGTTGCAGATGGTATCAGTAAAATCAAGTCTTAAAGGAAGAGGATGGTTCATTATCATCATCACTTTTGAGTGGCAACTTATAAAACAGGGCAAAGACCGAAGCAAACAGACACAGGGGGACCACCCTGTGGGACGCTCCACATAATATCAGTCTTTGTGCATTTTGTTCATTTTTGATGACTTTCAATTTTCCTAGCTCCATACTTCATACATTCCAAGTTCCAATGAATAGATGTTTGCAGCTGCTTCTTCTCATGTTGCATCATGTCCTATCAGCAGGTGAAGGTCCTCAAGTAGGGGTAGCTAAGTCCTTGTGCTCAACTGTACGTGAAGCGGCAGCTCTTCCTCAGTCATATTTTGAGTGCCTTC